GTTAAGCCAGTAGAAAAAATCATCGATCCAGCTAGCCGTTGATCCTGAGATATACGAAACATTGGACCGCTTCGACTCCTGTTCGAGCACAAAGGGCAAAGAAAATTCCTCGCATGTTGTAAAACGTCCGCATAGCTGTTGCTGGTGGTGACGTTGAGTGACATTTACGTTGCGTGTCACGAAGTAGACCGGGGGGCCACTTCCAAAGTAAGCGTTCAAGTCGTCGAAGTATTGGATGAGATAAGAGTCGCTTGGAAGAGCGATGCGTTGATCCAGTCCAAGAGCCACCTTTGGGATCAAAGCAAGTCCCGCAGTCAAAAGGCCAAGAAAGGTGATCACGACGATGACTTTGACCCTACGTGCAAGGAGTGAAGATGCATACACCTTGCGTATGAACACCTGCAAGGCGCTTTCGCCCTCCTGGTGATCGAGAAGCTGGTCTTCGGACATGCCGGAATGCGCTTTGCGAACGGTCAGGCACGGAATGCAATCGGCGCGGAGGCTTTCAACGCGTCTCTGGTTCAATGCCAGAACCGAAATGAACATGGTGATCTGCAAGACTGCGTTGATGAAGACTGCACCAGCGGCATAAACGGCAAAATTCCTCACAGCAGGCATTCCTACAAAGACTCCCATGACGAAAGCGACAGTCTCTGTAAGTGAGGATAGGAAGATACTGGGGCCAATTCGGCCCACAGCACGGGCGATCCTCTCATCAATCTCTTCATCCGGATGACTCACGTTGATCCTTTCAAACTCGTGAACAATCAAGAAAATATTGTCTACACCCACTGCCAGAACGAGGAATGGAATGACCTCGGCAATGATCAGGGTGACCTTTATGCCAGCTGCAGAAAACAGCCCAACTGACGCTGAAACCGACATCAGAACGATGAGGATACCGACGATGCCCAGGGTAAACTTGGACTGGACCAATGCGTTTGCAGGGTTAGTAAACAAGGATTTCCACGTAACTGTGACCGAACCCAAGGCCATGGATGCATATAAGAACATGATGATATAGCTGATGACCACGATTTTTGCGTCGGTGTTCGTGGACTTGTTCAACTCTTGCTCAACGCTGATCTCGGTATTGAACGAGACACGTAGTCCACGCTCCTTAGCTTCTTCTTGTACCACTTCCAGGATGCGCCTGAGGCTATTTTCCCAGTCAATGGCATTAGCTTCACCTTCTGTCCCCTGCGCGTGGTTGTCCACAACCCATGTTGTGATCAGTGCTTGGGCGTCTAAGACATCTCTTGATTCTCCATAGCCACCCAGGACCATTTCTGGCCTTAGTGGTTGTCCGAAGTCTGGGAGGCAGCTCACGTCACCTGGTGAATCCGCGCAATGCTTAAGTCGAGCTTCCCACGTGTCTGGGTCTAGGTTTGCCACGGATCCTCCAAAGTAGCCCGTCAGAGACTGGATGACACAGGCTTCACCGGTTGGCTTAGTGCAAATGTCATCGAGAATTAACCCTCTGTCAAGAGAGATCATGCGGTGCACACGAGACTCCACATCAAACCACCAACTCAAAGTGTCATAGCTCAGAACGCTCCCATCCCCTGACGATGTGTCATTAACGAGAAACGCTTGCTCTGCCCTATAGAACGGTCCAAAATTGGCATCGAAGTACGCCTTTTCTTGTGCCGCTGCTGACGTTGGACTGACCCAGAGACGAACTGGGTCTGTCTCCACGGCGAATCGGAGCCAACCAAGACTCAACAGAACGACCATGACAATACTGGACCCAATTGTAAAGCCGGGAAACCGAGCACAGGCACCACCAATGCTGTTGAATACCCTGTCCAGCACAGAGTTCAACTTATACACACCATTGGGCTGCTCAATATAACCACCTGCGCGAACAATATCACCTTCGTCCTCATCGTCACTGGGGGCGGGATCCTGCAACAGTCTGACGCGTTCGGGTTTCCGGTAGCGGCGTTCTCGGTAGGTGAAGTAGCTGGAGAAAGCGACGATAACCAGTAAGAAGACCGAGTAAATGAGGATGACAGCAAACGACAGACAAGGCAACAGGCCAACGTGGCAGTACTTGTCCGTTTCTATGGCAGGTAGCTCCGGGCATACATCGGGGCAATCAACGCAAGAACAACGGAATGCCTCATCCGCGTCGTTGCACGCCTTCGGCTTGATCGGCAGTGGCTTCATTCCTTCAGGATCTGGGCCAGCAGGCTCGGTCTTGAAGTTAATCTGGAATGGGCTCCCCAGGAGCTTTTTGTCACCGAGGAACTTCAGAAATTGAGTGTAGTTCTTGGCACCGCCACCGATGAAGTCGATGGCTTTACCACCTGAAGCGCCATTCTTAACATTCTTGCAGCTGTCATAGAACCCGCTTTGATACTCTTCCGACCAAATGTTATCAATTTCGGTGACAAGTTGTTTTCCGCCCCGGGCCTCGTCGATATCGGTGACGTTGACGAACAAGGACTGGTCTGGGGAGCAGGTGAACGTGCAGAAGATGTTGAAGAAATTATCCTTGCAAGCAGGACAGGACGCGATGATACCTTCGGCGAGTTTTAGATTCTTGGAAAGAGCATCGATCTATAGTACGACAAGTCAGCAGGGTCCAATGATCCGAGGATGTGGGGCATCCATGGAGCTTACTTGCTCATCCAGACAGCAAACAGGACCTTCTTCCCATTTGCTGCCACAGAGGTCTACCAGCTTCTTTCTCACCGCTGCTTCGGGCTCCTGTGCCAGGCCATTATCCGGACAAGGAAGCTCTCCACCGAAGAATGACTTCTTCCCGCAATGGCCTCGGATCGCACAGCGACCAGGTTCATGGATGTTGGTGAAGCCTAAGCTCGGTTCGTCCCGGGCCCACGACTGAGGGAGAACGCCAAGACTTGCGATGAAGGGGATTAAGCGGAGTCCCCGCATGATTGGGGGCGTAGCCGGTCGAAGAAGCAGATGGAACGATCGATTACATTCAACAATGATGAGATAAGGCGTGAGAGAGTTGAGGGATGGGAATGAATGAGTCGGAGTTGGAGAGAAAAGGAAGTAAATAGAGGAGGCGCAGGTCGGCAGGGAGCTTCCGGGATGACGATAAGCGGCGATGTACGTAAGCGGCGGTGGTTGGCCTCACCTGTCGGGCGCTAACGTCAGGCACTCCCCGCGATCATCCAGGAACTCTGTCAGGGACTATCAAATGGACCAGACTTTACTAGGACATCTGTGGACCTTATACGAGTAGGTTTGATCGGCTGAGCTAATTTACTCATTCTACAATTATTCCGAGCAATTTGCATGATCCCTGACACAGAGTTGTGTGCTTATTTGTACTGTAGTATATATTGCCGACTTGATCGGACTTGGGGCTCACTAGACCATCAAATACTCGTCATGCGACACTCACCTGACCGAAAGCTGGTCACACTACTAAATATGTCGGATGATGATACGTGGCCAGGTTGACCAAGTTGTTTTCTCTGCTGCCTCTCAGCAAGGGAGGACCGTCCATTTGACAATGGCTACTATCAACATAATGACTGTGACATATCATCACCGTCCCGAAGCTCCGATAAGGTTCGAAAGCACTACTACCTGAAACAGCAGATCAACGTTGAACACAATTGGATCACGCAACCTTACAATATACCTACCTGAAAGATGTCTATCTTGTCGAGGCCATCGATGGTTTTGCATTCAGTCACTACCCAAAGCAAGGGCTGATGGCTCGTGCTCTTTCCATCCATTGTCTTGCTACGGCGGTCTGCAACTGTTAGCCTTGTCCATCCCATAAGAAATGGAATCAGCTTCCATGTTTCCTAGATACTACGCAGTTAACGGTCAATATTCTCCCATACCTTTCACAATCTTAATCCACGGCTGTAGCCTCAAGCACATTTCACTCATTCTTGGCAGCTCATGTGTTTTAGTTCGATGTGGCTACAAGAACGCCAGGTCACACACTGGATCCCAGCTGAGGTCACATAGTAGTACATTTCCACTGAGCTCAACTATATGTGATCATGTGTTACGGGCACTGACACCACAAAAATAGGGTTACAGCACTGCACCAATCTCGATTGATGCGGGAGAGAAAGAACACTACAAAAGGCTACCATGAGGATTTGCTTCAGCTATAAACACATATAGAATTTCACGTCTGAAATGCAGTAGCAGATTTGGTAGCACTCTCAGAATTTGAACGATAACATAAGCTGATGGCTAACATTTTAGGCATTCATATGAACCAAATATCCACATTGCGATCATCATTACTATTCTAGGTTGCTGGTCCATAGGCCAAACCAGCCTCTAATTCCATATAACTGCCTGAAATAGATGATTACATCTATAGGCTTGTTTATAGGTGTCACAGGAAATCAAGACAAAAAAATCTGCACCAATCAGCCCGTCTCAGAGACGCGAGGGAAGTAGTACCCATGACTTACTCTTGAATGGCAGGGCGATAAACCACACCATCCAGCACCACAGCACAAACGCGACCGTAGTGATGGGGGAATGGGATTGTAATAAAAGTTCTTGATCAGGGGGCTACGAGAGGTATATGAATGGGAGGCACAAGTATTTCCTCGCGCCTCGATATTGTCGCACTTCAGAGATTGTAACCAAAGAGCCTAAAAGACCGACCTCTAATCACCATCAACCAAGATAATCTGCGTTCATCTTGCTGTATTCGGGCGCTCTCTGAGCAACAAGAATGTGCGGCTGTCCGAAAGCCTACTGAAGCCAACGGAGGCTACATTATGCGTTGGGCTTGCCGCCCAATTGGTGAGGCAGACACCCTTCGCTGCTATTCTCGACGAGCCGGTGGACAAAGTAGTAGAAGTATCAGAGAGCTCTGTTCAGCTCAGCATCTCTCAAGCATTGAGATTTGAATCACTTCTGTGTATCCACTAGTGATGGCTGGGAGAACCGTATTGTGGTAGTCGATGAAACCTTGGTCTCAGGCGGGTTGCGTGCCTATGACTGGGCTCAGGGTCCTCATGCACCTACCATTTTATACCATGAAAGTGCCACCAAAAGATGTTCGACTGGGTCTGGACATTCAGTTAGCTGGTATTGTCATCGCGCGCAGCGATCTGGATGAGCGACTCAGGAAGATCTGTCGTGATACTGGGTCCGCCCTGTCGGGACGCAGTGTTTCTTTGCTCCCAGCTCTGACGTTCGACATATACCAAGCACGACTTCTACAGTTTACTAATAATGCCGAGAAAATCTTCGAGGGTCTTAGACCCGCACTATCTCATGTCGCTGATGTTGCTTACCCACTCCAATGGAGACAGTACTGCTGGGGCCATAGAGGGGCTTTGGTGACAATTGATTTCATCGATGGGGGATTGAATAACAAAGAGGGACTCGACGCATGTATTGAATTGGCTTTGCAATTAGCAAGATGGGAAGGCTTTCCTATCACTAAGGGAGCTGGATTTGGCTACTCTGCTTCTCGGATATCGGCCAGTTTCACCATGGCAGAGGACTCGGATCCTTTCTTGCGCATCTCTGTTGGGATAGAGAGTGGCGAGGTTGACGCTTTGGTTGTTGTGGTCAATAGAGCGACGTTGCAGTGTGCGAAGAGATACTCAGGATGAGGCATATAGCTCGTTGATGAAGGGCATCTGTTATGTTGTTACGGTAGTTTTATGCCCCTCTACACTGCATTTTGCAATGTTTGGGGTCATGCATTTCCATTTGGACGGGCTGAGTGGAGCTGTGGGGTAGCAGATCAAAACAAGCTGGGGCACGGCGCTACTAATAATTAGTTGGTCCCACACTCTATATAGCAGATCAAGACCTAGAAGAGCTGTCTATACCTCGTATAATTCTAAATTATCCATGATACAAAATTTTGATATTTGCGTTGACTGTGTATTGACAGAAAGGCTGCTGGTACAGGGATTCACTGCTGCACAAGCAGCCAGTTACCGCGGCAACGTGATGCAGCTCGCATGACATGCTTACACATCGGCTTTTACCAGTTCCCCAGCATAGTTAGCTCACACACAGCACAAAGAGCCTCAAAACTATAGTTCTTGTCGGATTGTCTAACAAAGAAGCGCAGTCACTGCAAAGGGTCTTACCATGGTCACCGTCGCGCTTGAGACTCGGTTCAAGCATATGGCCATTGTCGATGAGAATGCTCACGATAGTGCGAAGGTTCAACAAAAAGCCAAAGTACGTCCCATCTATCAACCTATTCAGCTGGATATGGGGTCACGATTGACAATAGAAAGCAGAGCGCAACTTCGACTACGCGTCCGGTGAACCGAGTTCTACGACCCAAGAACTCCGACGCTGTTCCTCATAATACAACAACCACGAATCCTACGGAGACCGTGTCGACAAACACCCAACAAACTCCCTCGAAGACAAGACATCCTCTCGCCTCTGTCGTATCGCAAGACACAGATGATGCTGCAAATGAAGATGACCAACATGCCACTACCGATACCAAAAACCAACTTGCGCGTCAAAGCTCCGCACCCTCCCAACCTCCCCGACAGAAAGAAAGACAATCATCTACATCACAAGCTCGCCATCCTCTCTCCGTTCTATCCCAAGCACCGAACGCTACAGTAAAGCAAGAACAACACTTCACCAAGCTCACAAAACCAATACCCAGAGTATTACATCTAGGCATGTTCGAAATCGGCAAGGCGCTGGGAAAAGGGAAGTTCGGACGGGTCTATCTTGCTCGGGATCGAGACAGCGGATTCGTTTGCGCTCTGAAGGTACTTCACAAGAATGAGATCCAACAAGGGAGGGTAGAGAAACAAGTGGCCCGTGAGATCGAGATCCAGAGCAATCTGCGACATCCGAATATTCTTCGGCTTTACGGGCACTTTCACGACAGCAAACGTATAATATTAGTATTGGAGTTCGCGGGAAAGGGAGAGCTATATAAGCACTTGCAAAAGGAGAATCGGTTCCCGGAGTGGAAGGCTGCGCAGTACATTGCGCAGATGACAAATGCTTTGCAGTACTTACATCGCAAGCATGTTATACATCGGGATATCAAGCCTGAGAATATCCTTGTGGGGATTCATGGAGAGCTGAAGATGTCGGATTTTGGCTGGAGTGTTCATGCGCCAAGTGGTCGCAGGCTTACGAAATGTGGGACGTTAGATTACTTGCCTCCTGAAATGGTTGACCCGAAAAAGTGCGATAAGCCGTATGATCAAAAGGTGGATTTGTGGTCCCTTGGGGTTCTACTGTATGAGTTTTTGGTTGGGAGCGCTCCGTTCGAGGATACACCTGTCATGACGCAGAGGAGGATCATGAAAGCGGATATGATAATCCCTTCTTTTGTGAGTCCTGAAGCCAGGGACCTTATCAGGAAGGTAAAGCAACCGTCCTCTTTTCTATGATTCAGCAGTATACTAACGATATCTAAGCTTCTTGTCACTGATGCGGATAAAAGAATCACTCTCGAACAGGTCCGACAACATCCTTGGATAATCAAGTACTGCTCCCGACATGCAAAGGAGGAAAATAAAGAAGATATACCTAGTCAAGAAACGTGAGTTAATAATAGCCCTTCGGGTTATAAGGTCCATAAACTGCTGGCAGTAATCTACTATATAATAGATAGCTGGACTAGACAAGTCCCGCATTTGAGCACTCTTCATGGATATTTAGTGCACAGTATAGACCCAGAGGATCTTCATTAAGCCACTAATAATTTAAGCCCTGCTATCATCGTCAAATATGAACTTGAGTTTGGATCAGGAGACCTAGACGTGGCCAAATGGTATGAAAAAAACAAAATGGTAAGACTGGGGTTCGAACCCAGGCTGACTTTCGTCAAGCGGAGTTTTAAATTGTACCGAATAAGTAAAACTCGGAACAACTCTCTTAAGCCGCTCGCCTTAACCACTCGGCCATCTTACCAGCATTGTCTACGGATATATCTTATTTGCTTTGTATTACACCTGGCTACTAGGCTCGGATATATCCGCAGCGAGTAGTTAGCCGATGGCACTTCGCTGTCATATTGTTTGCTGTTTAGGTTGGAAGGTCTTTTTTTTGAATGGTGTATCATTAGTTGTTGTTTGTCGGTTATACTAGTGTAGGTCAAATAATTGCATTGGGTAGATGATGTACGGCTGAACAGGGGTACAAGTTACATTTTATAGCCAGGGTGGAAGGAGTTCTTAGTTGAGCTGTAGGTCATGAAATAGAACGAGGTCAAGTCATGTAACCTGCTCAAAATACCTCAAAATCTCCACATCCCTCACCAGAGCCTCATACTCCTTCTCCGGCGCTTGCACAAGAACCTCAAATACCCTCGTATCACCCTCAGAGAAATTCGGTAATATTATCGCGCACGCCCCCGGCACCCCCGCCTGCACCCGAAATGCTACGGGCCTTGTCGCCGCTCCCAAATCATACTTGGCTGCGCTCCCCGTATACCAGGTATTCATGAACAGATCCATGCCCGCAAAATCGGCGTTCGGAATAAGCATCTCCGTGTCTGCGAGGGAGGTCTGCAGTGCCGTGAGATGTCCAATCTTCGATATGTCAACGGCGTGAATGGATTGGCGGATATTGGTGGCTGTTGCGGCAAGGCTGCGGTCCCCTTCGGAGGTGAGTGTGGTGGCGGGCACTGGTCCAGCGAGGGTACCGATTACGGCGTTGCCGAAGTACTGAAGAGATGTTTTGTGCTCTGGGTCGCGGGATCGGACGTCGATGGGGTGGACGAATCGGGTTGGTGTGTTGGCTTGGTCAGGGTGAATGTGTAGACGGGCCCGGGTGAGTGCCCTCCACAGGAGGGCTGAGATGCAGTCGTAGGAGGTTATGTACTCGACCTGGTCTAGGTGGGGGTTACATCGAGCTTTGAGCTGCTGAATGGTGGGCTCTGTGATGCGGTAGATGCCGGCGCGGGTTGGAGGTGGCGGCTTGAATTGAAACTTGCTCTTCTCGATGATATGGAACAGGGGGAGTTGAGCGAGTCGATCTTGTTGCGAGATCGTGGTATCCAGGGCAGGAGCATTGTAAGGATCTCTTTTGAGGTCTGGAGTGTGAGTGGGCATGTCCAGGCCTTCCTGCTGTGCCTTGCTGCTTTGACAGACGAGCGAGATGAAAGTGCTGAGAGATACCCAGTCCCCGGCTGCGTGGTCCACTCGAAACCCTACGGCCAGACCCCCTTCAATGAGATTGATTTGCATTAGGCATACCGGGTGCTTCGCGATTGGATCTTTTGGTAGAAATTGAGTCAAATCTAGTTTGGTGGGAGAGAACGAGTGCCGAGCCAAGTCATGGAAAGGCTCGCACTCGGTGCTCGCGAATCGGCGTACGCTGACTTCCACCGCGCTGTCAGGGGAGGTCACAATGCAGAGCCTTCCGGACTTATTGACCTGGAGGTTTCCTCCCATGAATGTTAGTTGGCCTGTTGTGTGTTTTATTCCCTCCAATAACGAGGAAACCACACTCTCCGGGTCAACAGTTGCATGGAGATCATAGAAGAGGACGGCTTTCACAGTCTTGGTGAAGCCTCCTTTGTCAAGGTCTGACAATTCATATATCTTTGTGCCCTGCATGGTTTCATTCGTGGATTATAATGGTAGTGTATAGTCTGATGGAAAGCTTGTTGCTCTGAACGCATCCAAGGTTGTTAAGTATGGGTGTCTTCGCCGTCGGGAACCCGAAGTGGTCAAGCCCCGGGACGCCTAAACAGGCCCGATTGGGAGCCCGACCGGGCGGTTACTCGCTCAGTGTTTCACCTTTGCCTCTACACCATTCCTTCGATACTTCATTACTTATATCACTTTTGACACTGCTCACATAAACTGAACCAACCACTGTCGGTGTCACAGCCACGTCCTTGACGATAAAATGAAATATGATGATTAGATGATAGCAACAGGCTGCCGGGTAGATCCAAACAATGTATCAGGATCAAAGTCACCCCAGAGCTTTAACAACGGGATATCAAATCTGCCAACCCGGCGGAAGCACTGGGACTCATGCTTCTCCTGACATGGTACAACTATCAAGCCTTGGATAACATGGTATGTTTTCCGAGAAGACCGTAGCGGAATAGCATAAGCTTGTTGCATTCCTTCCGACTGGATTTCTTGCAAGCTGTCTGGATAGCATTTACCCAGTAATGTGCCCGGATGTAGTTCCTCCGACTTGTCTGAATCTCCCTGACTGGTAGCATAAAACTTCCCCTGTGAGGGGTGCCAAAATATTCTCTTCAACGAAGCGTTCAGTTGCAACCGCCCGTCCGTAACCTCACCGTACGGCATCTTCTCATTCGCCAAGGTAGATTGGCAATCGACTATCTCACATTCCGGTACATCTTCTCTCCAGAAATGCATAGTATTCGCACGCATCACCTTGCCGTTTACTGCAGCCCAGGACCAAGAGGGGGCGCGGTAGCTCTCGGGTCGAGCATGTAGTGGTGGATCAGCTTCCCAGAGGAGGTCTTCGAGGAGGTTATGTTTCCATAATCCAGCGAGGTACTGGCTATGAGTCCAAGTGCGATGAAAAGTTTCTGCGATGCCGTAGAATGCGATGAGACGATCGCGAAACTGTGTGATATCGCGCGCCGTGTATTCTGCGAGGACCGAGGCCCACGTATTTTCAATCGTAAGGGCAGAACTCTCTTCGTACGTGAGGGGAGCCCAGTCCCCTTCTTCTGGCTCCATCATTGTGCTCGGTAGGCGCGTGTCTGCATTCCATGCTGCAATGTTGGAATTTCCGATGTTAAGGTAGTGCGATTGACATTGAAACCGCACGGTTCGAGTTGTGAAGATCAAAGCACGCTGGGTAAGAAGCTTCTCCTCATAACACCAAGCTCTGGTATCTATTGGCTCGCGGGGATCAATTGTGCCCTCCCTGATCCACATAGTGCCGATGCGGTTACCGTCGCAGCGGAAAGGTAGCGAGACTGCTTTGGGTGGGGGTTCGCGGTCTTGCAAGAAGCCTTGGCTGACTTGGGATGCGCTGGCTGCAACAATGGTGATGAATGCGTTTTGGAAGGTTTTGCGGATTTGTGGGATCTCACGACTTTTATCCTCCTTAGAGTCTTGGATGATGCACAGGCTGTCGACCCATAGAAAGCGGATCCCGAGTTCTTGTGTGCAGTGGATCGCATCTTTGATTGTCTGAGGGAGTGAATGGACCGGGATCTCTTGACAATATGACTGGAGATTGTGAGTTTGCATCCGATGTGGCTGGGCCTCTCCCCAGCGGTAACTCAGAGCTGTGTATTTTCCCGATGCTCCCCCTTGGGTGATGTGAAGTTTTGGATGTTCCGGATCTGAACAATCGACCACTCGAGTCGGCAGATAAAGGGTTTCTCGGTGATGGCACTGGTCATGTCCCCCAGTTGTGCAATCGCTAATCAGCTCGGCAGCATGAGCATATGTAGCAGTGGAGTTGACCTGCCAAATGATCTCGCGTGTGGGGATATATTCCGCAGCATTATCGCCTGCCACAATTAGCTACACTACTCCGGTACAATTACTGACAGATCGAACAAACCATCCACTGTGTGTACCTCAAAGGTTTGACTCCAGATGTCATTCAACGACAGGGCCAGAAGGGTACGTTGTTCTTGCCCCGACCTCATGCGGAACCTCACAGCTATTGTATACTCTGCCTCGGCATGAAGGGGACCGTCTGTTCCAACCTGAACTGGAATCTGCTCGTTGAGAAATTGGCACCATTTACAGCCTTGTTTGGCAGAGATGGCGATTTCTCCCAGGCTCACCTTGTAGGAGAAGCCGGAATCGTGGGGTCGAAACTGAGCCTGCCAGGCAGCTTGGAAACACTTTCTTGAGAATAGGCTATTCCAGCAACGCTGGCAGACAGAAGGATGCGACGTCATGCCACCAAAAGCTTGGAAGAAACGGGCTATTGACGGGGGTGTGAGTCCACACATGAAGTATGCTGGATATGCTCGTTGCGGAAAAAGGATATCACGGCCAAGATGTTAGTGCACACCGTTCAAGAATATTGTTTCCTGGGTATCATCTATATTGATGGCAAGTAAGCCACAGCAAGGTTACGAAGATGTGATTGTGATTGCCCAACTCTTAACTTCGAGGCCTAAATGTCACGTGAAATTATACTCCTCTCGTCTCCAGGCTAGAAGCATACGACCATAATGCAGAGCAAGGTTGATTTTCAGCCTTGTACGAAAGGAATGACCGATAGAATGTGTCCAATTCCCTGGGTTGATTCAGCCGGGACAATGTGATCTGGATAAGTGCTTAGCAGTGGAAATGACTTGGTGCTGGGAAGCATACATCGGACACAGAAAAGTGGGCCTCCGCCTCGTTTACCCGATGTTGACATAAACTCAACATTTTATTGGAAAGAATGACTGTGCTATCAGCCGTCCGATGCATGAAAATGGGTCAGCTCAAAAAGCTGTGACGTGTTGAGAGTGGAGCAACTCAACAAGCCTTTTGCTCGAATGCCATCACGGGGAAAATATTGTCAAAGTATACTAATGTATTATCACAGAAACGACTAGTTGATTATTTAAACGCCAGAATTGAACTAACGGGAGATAACTAATTACACATCATCGTTGCAAACCTCTTTTCTTTTCAACCAATATCACTCGCCTCTCTTCATTGTCCGTAAGCGCCCACCATTTCTCCTCCCAATCCCTCAGCTTGCCAGGAAAGAACTCCGCCAGGAGTGCTCTTCCGAATCCCTTATACCCCAACTCCAGCTCCATGAGCGTGTACATCACCTTATATTCGGCGAAGACTGAAGGCGTACCCTGTGAGCTTTCGCTCAATTCGATCGAAATGCCCAGCATCTCAGGGAAGCGCGGTGCCCCAGCGACGATGAGATTTTGGATCATGCCCAGCCCCCCAACGCCGACCAGATACCAGGTATGACTTTCGATGGCTTGGCTAGTAATCAAGAGAACGAGCCAGAGGATGGCAAGAAGTGTAATCAGAAATCGTGTCGTGTTACATGACTCGATCATTCGGGATATAGATCGACGGTTCGAGGTCGCTGCTCCTGAGTGTCGAACCTCAGCCCCCGCCAGATCCTCCAAATCCAGTCCATCGGGATGGCCTCCATGCACAATCACCACATGGGTGGATCCGTTCCCCAACGTCAATGCCACGTCTTTCCCTGACCCTCTGCGACACGCCCATTTCTCTTTCCGCCAGCCCGGCAATGCCCCCGCGGCATACGCCAGGACGGTCCCGCTGACCGTCACCAGAAAGACTCGCCAGTCCCCGTAAATCCCGAACGGGACAGCACTGATGGCAATCTGAATGAGTGAGACCAGCAGTCCTGTCCACCAAACCCAGTCGTGCCCCGGACGCGCTAGAGAGTTCCTCCCCGTTGACCAGTGATAGACGGCCACACATAGAGCCACCTCTGGCTGCCGACTCCCCGGAAGCAAGCTCGGAACCTTCTTCTCTTCATCACCGTTCTGACTCGGATGTTCTTCCAATCGTTCACGCACCGCACTCGGCATCCAATGCTCGTAGTCCTGAAACACGCGACCGAGTACCCATGATCGATTCCAGCGACAGTAGCCAGACTTGAGATCAATCACCCGTAAATTAGTGATAGGAGTCTCAGGCATGAGACGGCCATCGCCAGTGGCAGAGAGAAGGGCCGACACGGCGTATGCAACCCATCCGTAGGAAAATGCGACCGGGGTGAGAAATCCTCCTGATACGGCCCCCAAGGCTTGCTGAACAATGTCTCCACCGATAATTAGGAGGACAGTGAAGATGTCGGAGGGCTCCTTCCACTGGTCCCGAAGGCTTTGAGCGGGGGACACCATGGTTGTTTGTGGTGGATGTAAGATGTAAAATAACCTTCGAGACAAATATCCGGGCCCATGGAGGCTATGGCCCGAGAGTTATACTAAACGGAGCTAGAGTGCGCGCGGGTTCATGTTGGGCTTCGGGCCATCATGCAGGGCATCAGACTAGCTGGCGGTGCTAATCGCTATGTAGGTACAGGGCAGGAGCGGGACTATCACACACCGCAGATTGACACAGCAGGGGTACTGCTTTCTTGTTAAAGATATTTCTAGTTTTAGAGTAGATTACTTTTAGAATAAATAAGGAATATAAAGATTTACTGTAATCCATGGATACAGTGATTTCATGATAACAGAAAAAATAAGTAAAATAAATAGAATCAAAGAATATTAAATAAAGCTAGATTAGACAGAAAAAAAAAATATTAATAATCATATATCTGATTTATAGTCTGATCATGCAGTAAATACCAGACTGTATATAATATAATATATTTTAGGATTTTAGATCTCAGCTAAACTAGAAATACCTTGAATATCAACCTCTGCATCCCAGTACCGCACCTACCAGGGCATAGGATGCGGGGCATCGGTCGGATATACGCTTGGACCGGGTTGTGGATATATTAATTTGAAAGAATGATAAGTAAGCTTTGACGGCTTAGTGTGACTGAATGTCCAGACCGATGAAAGTCAAGGGTACGCAGGAAGGAGTGAAGGGTAGGATGATGTAGATCTTGTTGATTCTCGGTATGGCCGTTCGTATTCCCTCAACAGGCCAAGATTTAATTTCCTATGAGATAATCCCATTAGCATTAAACGTGCTACTAACCTCGTTGTCATTCTAAACATACTGCTTCCTCCCCAACTAACGCCTTCTGAACAAGTCCTTCCACCACTATGGACAGTTCGCGGTTTGTCAGACCATCATCGTTCTATTCATCCGAAGTTCAGATCGATCTCGATTGTGGGAAGAGAGATGGGAATGTACATGGCGATGGGTTTGAGCCCATTTATTTCCAGATCTTCACTCGGCTGCTGCTATCTGTCCTCATCAGGACTCGGTCTTGGAGGAATCCACGAGACAAGGGTGTTCTGCATCCTGTCGTCTTTGCCAGACGCGGAACTAAAGTGGGTCACTCCAATCTATGTAAGTCCCGTATCCGAGGTACTCGCATAGACGACATTTGCTTCCATATCCTCGACCAGTAGCCTTTAATTTTATGAGACTGGTTCCGAAGCCATCGATCGTCGAATATCAAAGAGCTCCCATCTTGGGCAGTGGACTTCACGCATGTCGACCTCCATGAGAATAGCTAAACCAATCTTAATCCAACCTTCGCGCCAGATTAGATCTAGTTAATTTGTAGATTTAGTCATGGGTTCCCAAGCTTAAGATTAGCGTCATGGCCTAGGAAAAACTATGTCTTTAGAGATCAGTAATCACAGAGAGATTTAGATAAGACTTAAGGAAGCCACCCGATGAATTTAAAAAAAATAAGTTCACTAGATAAAATCTAGGTCAAGCCATCAAAAGAACAGAGACAGCTAGAAAGAGAAAATCGTACTCTATAGCTTCTTAATAGGTCTATCACTGATCTATGACTGATTCTCTTGTCAGTTGTGGCGACGATATGACATGGGGTTTCATAAGCTAGGATGAATCCTCCTTCCAGCCGTCAATATTCTTTCACCTAGTATCTTTGGAGGTAAGAGCCATCTAGATAGAACGCAACACGGAGAAAGCTCAGAGCATCCTGTCAGTGAATAAGAATAGGGTCGCTATCGGGGATCTAGCGGAGGTAAGATTGGGTTCATGCTAATAATGACGTCGGAAACGAAATTGATCATTGGAATTTTCCTGAGTTTCTTAGCACTCGCTACCTTAAGTTTATCTTGAACTTTCAAATGCTGGAAAGGTAAATTTACACGCGGAGACTTTTTCAGGATATTGCCTTTATAGGGTCGCACCATCACAAATATGTTGGTAGTCTGGATTGCGTGCTAACTCTATATAAGGGTCTCGTTGTTTCTTCACATCGTGACTCAGAACGTCCTCTTCACCGTGTCATCCGCCTCGAATTTTCACTTTCTATCAGGTGCCAGCCACAAAGCTATCTACGTGTCACATGACTACATGTTCCTTCCTCTTCTGTATGGTTAGACCATCTAGTATAGCTCTCGACCCCTCATCCTCCGCTACCTCTACAATCAACACAATCATCATACAAACACTACGTGTAGCTGCTACACTACCCTTCATCCCCGCATGATCTTTCCGATATCCATGGAAATGGAGTATGTCACCAACACTGAATTCCAAACCACGCTCCGAGCAGCGGCGGAGCAGCAAAGCCAGCAGTATCAGAACATCTACTCAATCGCTGTGAGATGGGAGCGGGATGATACAAATGCCGAACTAGATACAGCGCACTTTCAGAGCATGCTGAAGAACCTCGATACTGATCCAGCTGAGGTTTTGGTTCTTGGTTCTGACGATAAATACCCTGCATACACCGTGAAAAGGACCTGGCTCAATTTTACAGCGAAAGCGAGACTCAACACCGAACGCGACTTGATAATCTTCCATTATGCAGGCTACGGAACAACCAAGAATGGGTCTTTCCACATTGCGGATACCACGAGCGAATCAAATACAGTTAACTTCCAAAGTGATATCCTTGAAGAGCTCAAGGACCCGACCAAATTCTCAGATTATTGTAATACTGATATCCTGTTCATCCTTGATTGCTGCTATTCTCATTACACAACCCGAGCATTAAAGACTACTCGCAATGTTATTGAGATTCTTGCAGCAACAAGCTCCCAGACAGTCACAGCAAGATCCGCACCAAATAACACCTTCACTGCAAAACTGGCTAACGAAATCGCTCGAAGGAAGAGTGCGAATCATGAGAGTATGGAATTTGCCAGCGTGTTTGAAAGCCTTCTCACCCGATCAGGGACTACCCGATTAGGGACTATAGAGAGACCCACGCATGACTTGCTCGTTGGTGCAGCTTCAGTCAATATACCACTCAACGGACATAGAATGGTGGTAGACCCGCGAACTATTCCCGCGGATTTCTCGGCGCTTTTCGCTGTTAATATCTCAGGGCATGTCACGCATCAAGAGCTAAAAGAGCTCACCACATGGATGCGGAGCCTGCCACCGTTTGCGGGATTGAAGATAGAGCATATCTATCACACTCAAACTCACTCTATGTGCTTGATTATGCGTGCTGCATTTTCAGTCTACGCCAAGTTGCACAATATGCAAGGATACACTCTGATTGCGGAAAATCTTGGTCCGCGGGCAACTCATCTCTTGCAACCTGAGCTGTCTGATGATCCTGCTTCTCCGAATTCCGAGCCGGCTATGGTGTCGGATGAGTGCGAGGTTTGTCCATGAGATACGCCCATGCTCCGGTTTTGAATTTCATGTTGAGGCATTCACTGCAGCCAGGCAGCTGTCAGCTGATCCTTCGCCTATTCTTCCGGCGTGGTCTCCGACCACCACCTCTTCAACCAACCAATCACCCAACCCCTTGAGACCTAGATAGATCAAATCCATATCTTTGATCCTTTGCCTTGACAATCTATATTGAAGGGAACGCTAAAGGGGGACAGTGCTAAGGAATCCAGGAAAATCCCAATGATCGATTTAGTTTCCGAAGTCATAATTAGCAAGAACCAGATCCCCGATAGCAACCCTGTTCGTATCTACTCGACCTTGACTCTGAACTGTCTTCCTATTATGTTCTATGTAGATGGCTCCTATCTCATGGCAGACCCCGGATGAAATGCCAACTTGACCACCAACGTACTAGGAGAAATAAGATTGACGGATGGTAAGAGGAGTCATCTTAGCCGGTAAACCCCCATGTCAGCTTGTCAGTTTGTTGATAGACTATGGAGATTGTTGGCTTTTTCCGAAACGGTGTGACGCTTCCAAGCTGGTAGGGAGGTTACTCAATGTTCAATATAACGTTAGCTTGTCCAAGCTGATTTGCAGGTGTAGCTTGTAATATTGACAGGGATTACCCGCTTACTGTCGACATGACGAGAGATGTAGTCATTGGTGCCCGAGACTTGACGTCGGTTTCTTGTTGGCGGCTTCGTCGACGAAATCTATCGCATAGCTTCTGTCACAGTGCCTAATACCTTCTCCTGCAGTTGCTGTAGAGCCTCCGAATAATGAGCACTCAGGGATGTAATCCAACTATTTAGATCTCAATAAACACCTAAATAAATAAATTCAGCTGAGCCTCTTTCTGCAGCCATACGCCTTTCAATCTTCGAGGCAATCTCAGTGATGTCTTCTTTCAAGATTGCGTCTTTCGCGGCATAATTCATTCAGCAATGCGCTTGCCGTATCTATTCGAGACAAATCATCAGCTTTAAGCTTAAGCACAGGAGATATCGGCGAAGGGGAATCTTCTCTCGCCCGAGACATATGTCCACAGAAACGGCGATTTTGTCAGTATCGTGAGGGGCTATTAGGTGCTCAGCAGAGAGCTGCAATATAGATATACTGTAGTATAGCTCTAATCGATCATGGAAGGATAGTGCATCAACAATAATGATATGAGTTAGAAAGCACAAACTGACTAGAGATGTATACGTGGAGCAGCCACAGTCGAGTAAGTTGCGAGTGGTCAAACAGGTCACTACAACTAACAAGAGCACCAATTATAGATCGGAGATAGGTTTAAAGGGAAAGCTACACAGAGCATAGTAGTATCTCTTCTTAGGCTGTACCTGTTCTTTTGATAGCTTGACCCGGGACTTGTCTAGTAAACTACTTCTTCTTGGATTTATCAGATAATTTTCTTAAGTCTTATCATAAAATCTATTTCCTCTTTAATTATATATTTTAAAGAGTATTAATTCTTCTGGGTTATAGTATTAATCTTAAACTAGAAAATTTATGATTAAATATATATACATATATTAATTAGATTTAATATACAGTAGACTATCAGTCAATTCATAGAGTGAAGATGTACATGCTTTTTGAGCGAAGCCTATCTTTATGGGCAATATTAAGTTAGAAATGGGATTAGGTAGATACGACATCATCATATCGTTATCTGGATTGAAGAATTGCTACCATGGTTAATCGTAGTATACAAGCCCTCGAGCCTTTAAAAGTGACCAAGTGAGGTTCAGAAGAGGCCTTTTTATATCATTCTCTATGCTCTAGCGTAAGCTCTCTGGGTTATTGATCGCCAAAGCCCTCTCTCTCTTCGCGAGGTGGCAGCTCCGCCATATGGAATTGAACATGACACAAAGATAAGGATATCCCGACAAAGCAGACATGCACACATTCTAGGACAGAACTAATACGTCATAACATGGAATGAAACAGCATCTCAAGTAAACATAAGTACTCCGCTACCTATGAAGCTCGTCAAGTACTCTACACTGACCCTACCCAGCCACCCTTGAAAAAGCATTTCTGGTAACATGTCATCAAACACTGCAGTTCTCCATCAATCAGTCAACGAAAATTGTACCCTCCTACACCGCATCAAATTCGATTCCGTCGGCAGCTCTCACAAACTACAATCTGGCATTGGCGACACTCCAGGATGTACTTCCGGTGGCGTTCTCCACAGATCTCGCAATCAAATGCTCGCCTTCTTGAACCTTCAACACGCCGGAATCTGCCTTGGTGTTCGCACTCGTGATTCTCAACCAGATTTGCCCGCATTCTCTGAACTAGCATATGGCGGATCTGAGGTTCCAAGGGCGCTAGTGCCTGACGGTCTACAACTTCTGCCGCTCTGGCGACGAGTCTTCTCTCGTCCCAAATCACGCATTCGCATGTCTTCCATTGAAGACCGCAGAGGTAGCAAAACTCAGCGCGACATTTGCACCTGTTTAAACAGGTAAGTAAGTAGAAGTGGGGAATGTGGAAGAAGTATATGCATACGTTATGTGGTAACAGCCGAACCCCAGGTCGACGAGAGCCCTGCAACGGAAGCACCGTTGCCATCCTTGGGCACTGGCTAGCGCCAGTGTAGCTTGCAGATCATTATCCTCCACACAGTCGTCGATGTGAAAAGCCTTTTTGCACATGGCACAGGTATTCAGGTTGCAGTGAGGACACTCAGCACGGCCGGCTGTGATGTTTTGAGGTAGTATGAACTTGCCGCAGTTGGTATTGCTGCAATAAGTGCGGTCAGTGGTTGAGAACTCAATCTCCGCGTTCTTGAAATCAGATATTTCAGTCTCTGACATATGTTCCTGGACAGCTTCTAGATGAATCGGCATACGGCAGCATCGTGGGGGGAATAGAGTTGAGTCCTTCGTCGCTCTTAGAAAAAGATCTTTGAGACAATCGTCACAGTAATCATGGTTGCAGTCCAATTGCTTCACCTTGTGAGCGAAGAAACTCTCGTAGCACACACAACACCGAGTTTCCGTGGCGGCGGGCTTCTCCAATTCCAAGGCCTGTCTTTCTGTGTACGTCATTGAGGGACCCGCGACGCACTCATCGTCACTGGACTGGGGCTCTGTGGCTGCTTGAGGCTGGTCCACATTATCATCAGTTGTTGAAGAGTCCGAGTCATCGTTTCTTCCATTTATTCTGATTGCCAGACGTCGATCATCGCTTGCCTGAGCTTCTTCCCGTGTAATAGCAGCAATAACACGACTGTCGGAACGTACTGCCACAGCAATGCTCCAGGCGAGCTTGTTGTCCTCCAGTGACCTTAGATGTGCTCTCAACTCTTGGCGATATGCTTGTAGATAGTCTTCACTGTCATCGGCCCGACCCTTCCCTTTTTGAGAGTCAAGATACTCTTGTAACTCCTGAAGTTGCTGGGTGACAACGTAGATTTCGTCGTCCATCTGTCTGCTTGATTGGTAGTGGGGTTCCATTGTGTAAGGCAACTTTGAGAGACTGTAGCAGCAAGACAACAGTCAGAAATGACATGGATGGCTGGCCATGCCTTGAACACATGATGAGAGATATCTTACTGTCAACGTAACTGATGATGAAAGCTCAGAGATAGTGATAAGATTTATTGGAATGGTAGGTGATAATCTTCATTTCCAGATGGCGTTTGTTAGGAGGCGAATGTGTGAGAGGAAATGGAGATGGGGAGTTTCCGTGGGGAGTAGGAAAAAACAAACAAAGTTTCAGTGTTTGTATGTGCCCCAATCACTGGACGTAAAGGAACTGAACTCCGCCCTCACAGCTCAAGAACAAAACGGTCTGGCCCAATCGGCACTGTGAGATCCGGTATGGTAAAACAGAGGAATTTAATCGCGGCCAACGGTCTCGAGACTATACGGTCTTCTGAGGTGAGATGTTAGTCCCCGAGCCACGATCTACATCAATGCTGATTGTGGCTTCCGTAAAGTAGATGAATGTTCCAGATGGAATAATGATCTTTCAGGAGAGGGTCGCTGAGGCGTGACTAGTAGGTATTCTCTGAATTGAGTGTAAGATCAATCGACAAGTGAGGCCAATCCATCATTTATAGCACCCGTAATTCACTATAATTCTCAAAATACCTAGTGGTTTATACTATTCATCCCCAGTAGCCTCTCCACTTCCGAGGCTACGTATCTCCTTGAAGCTCTGGTTGAACTTCAGACTTCATTCAATAATTATTTTTATTTTTATTTTTTTTCTTTTCTTTTCCCTTTACCCCATCTTGACTCTGAACTGTCACTTGTGATGGGCATGACAGCAGTGTAAGCAACATAAAATCAACCTCCTCTAATTTAACCCTCCCGTACAACATCACCAGTAAATAACTTCCACTATTCTGTAGATTCTCAACTCTTTCCACTCACTCAGCTCAACTGTAATCGTTTAAATCAAAGTTCATCATAAGCTGACAGTTATCTAGTCAAGATAACCCACAGAGCCAAGACCTGGGGTAAGTAGATGATAACCATAGACCCACTATATCAGCCGTCTCCACATTCTGTATGTCGGCTATGCTCATCACGAAACTGCCAGTGAGATGAGGGCGATTTCACTCAGAAAGCAATGTGAAGCTGCATCTCTGAAGAAAGGCAGAAATGACCATCTCCCAGAAAATTTCCAGAAAATGGGATATGGCTCTAACTATAACACTGCAATCAATAAGCGGCGTATCACTCTCCCATCCGGATACCGCCCCCTAGACCAATATCCGATGGCCCCCAACAATGCAGAGCGTCCCTCTATCCCTTCATAACAACATTACGCCACTAGACACATCAATCAAGGAACAACTGAGACGAATATGTACTCACTACTGGCATCCCCAATCAACCCCCGATTTCTTCCTACCCCTCCCCCGGCCAACCCCCAGCCAACCATCGGATCCAACACCCACCCACAACCCAAGACCCCCCATCGGAAGCCCTCAAGGCGGTCAACATCCGAAGTCCCAAAATTGAGTTCCCCCCAAGTTCGGGGGCTCTCGGCCGTAACCCCGAACTTGGGGGGAACTCATATTATACCAAACAATCCAAACACACCAAACATTAGTAATATGCAATTGCACTGTTTGCAATCAGAATATAATTGGAGAACAAACATTCCAGTTGCCCACCGCCCAGCGTTGGGAAATGCGGGGAACCAATAAATGGATGAGCGGTGGAGGCACGGCACGCCATTATGCGACTCATTTGCATTGTTTGTTGCGCTGAAGACTGTCTGTGTCCCTGCAGTGGTTGTGGCATTCTTTCTTCGACTCCTTTTGTTGTTGATTATATCTTCGAGATTTTCTCAGATGGTTGATTCATCACTGAAGTGTTAGATTGAATCAGAGAGGATAAAGGAAAGAAACCATCATCATGGCGACGCATTTCTACGACCCCGCATTATCGCCCTACAGTCCCATCGAGAGCCTCATGAAGCCCTTGTCGTTTGTTTGGGAGTGGCTGGCATCTTTCAGGTCAGAGGGAGGTCAGAATGAGCAAGTGGGGGAGAATTCGAGCACGGAGAATGCTGTTCTCTGCAAAGAAACATGATGTAACCGGTTTATGGAACGTTGCAGGGTGTATAACGCAGGTATGTCCCCAGAGGGAAGGTCCTGGACTTTATCTTCATGGACAGAATCATACTAACATCATACATAGTTCATATCTCAGATACCACCCACGACGACCCCAACAATTTATGTTTATTCTATGATACCCCGATCGATTGTGTACGAAAACAGAGAATGATGTCATTGGTGAATTCGGCGCTGGTTAATACTTCATGTTGAGAGATTGAAGGATACGGACGGACCATACCTGTTTCTGAGCTGTCCTGATGCTTGTTAATTAAGTGAGGCTACTAGTACGGTTTATTACATATGTTAATACTGAACAATGCCGCATAAGGCATGTATGCTGTGGAACAAATGCAGGCTTAGTGCTACATACCCACTTATCATCAAGACCTCCTAGGACCATCATCAATGCTAATTCAGAGTAATACCGCTGAGCAAACAAAGACCTCAGGATAACATGCTAAAATAAATTAATCTATCCAACAAACACATACTAAACAAACGATATATCTCGCTAGAAACCACAAAGAACAAGCAAATCCTCTATCATCGTACAATGAACCCTTCTTCCAAAAGCCAAGTAGTAGCCATACTCACAACGAAGCCCTCTCAACCCTCCTTCCCAACGCCCCCCTCGCCTCCTCACACATCTTCCCAATATCCACATTGGCAATAATCCCATTCCGATAGTTAATCGCCTCCTCAATCTTCTTGAAATCGCTTCCTACCCCATCAGCCCTCCACTCATAGCAATCGCCAATGAACCGACTGCTCTGCACCAACCACTGAGACCGCTCGCGGCGGTTCTCATCAAACGCCGCCAACACTGCGTGAAGATCCTTGTGCGTCTGCACGCGCTCGTCTTCCAGCAGTGTCGCCAGCACGGCTGTATCCTCGATACAGAAGCCCGCGCCGGCGCCGTGGTGCGGTGAGGTGGCGTGCGCGGCGTCGCCGGAGATGCCGACGCGGCCTTTGTAGAAAGTTGGGACCGGGTGGTCGCCTAGGTCGAAGATGGCCCACTATTTACTCATCAGAATTTATTGTTCAAGGTAAATGGGGGAAGGGGATAATGCATACCACGCTGAGCTGAGGATCAGTCAATTTAAGCAAGTTGGTCACGTTGGGCCCGTAGCCGGCAAAGTCGCGGAGGACTTCATCGCGGGTACCCTGGCGGGTGAGTCTGGGGTACTCGGCCCATTCGTCGGTGGTGGTGTGGAAGGCGACGATGTTGAGTGTTTTGCCGGCGTTCACGGGGAAGGTGAGCATATGGCCACCGGGGCCCATCTACACTTATTAGTATTGTTTGGTAGCTTTGAAGTCAAGAGGGCTGATCACTCACATGCATGCAAGAATTCGAAGCTAATTCCTCCCCGATCGCCTCAACCGCCTTATCCATCGGCACGAGACCCCGGTACGCATACTTGTGAGTATACGATGGCTTCGCAGAAGGATGGTCCGCACCGACGATAATCTGGCGCACCTGGGACTTGATTCCATCACACCCGATGACCAAATCAGCTTCATCCTCGGATCCATCGGCAAACTTCATAATCAGCTTGCCATCGCTAATGCGCTCGTGAATATCATCCAGGTGCTTGTTAAAGCGAGAGATTTCCTTGGGGACGAGCTTGATCAATTCGTCAAGGAAATGCGCGCGGTGAACGCCGTTCTGGCCGAGACTGTTAGAGATGGTGAATTCGATTTTTTGGTGGCCGTTTTCTTCTTGGCTAGTGTTCTTGCTGTTGTATCCGTCCAGATAGTCGAACCACACCTTTTGCTTGGTGGGCCAGAGGTTCCGTGTGCAGACTTTCTCGAAGGCGTTATAGATGCCATCGTGGCAGTATTTCATGGCTTGGACGGCGTTGGGGCTGAAGGAGACGCCGGCGCCTACTTCGCCGAATTCGTGCGCTTGCTCGTAGATGGTTACGGGGATGTTGCGGTGGTGGAGTGCAATGGCTAGTGTGACGCCTGCTATGCCGCCGCCGATGATGGCGACGTGGAAGTCTTTCTTTGTGGGTGACATAGTGTGGTGTATTGTAGAGAAATTGGAGGATTGGATGACGGGTTGAGGTGGGAATTGAAGTGATGGGGAGTTAGCAGCGGCCAGGGCTCTCTAGGTCTTTTATCTACTAAGGCTATAGGCTACAGATAGCTTGTTTTTGAACGATGTCATTGCTGAGATGCGTGGCGCGGAGAGTCGGATGCTGATGAGGCACGTCGGTACCAGCGGGACAGTGACCTCAGAGTCCATCGGATGCTGTCTGGCTGATCCCCGTGGGGCATCGGACACGGATATACGGCACTGCTGGCGCCGTAGCCGATGGACTATTCTTCCATGATGCTGTCGAGTGGTGCTGATGGGTGATGTTATAAGCGGCAACGGCAAACAAGCTTGCAAGTGATCGGAGCTAGTTGGTAGCTTATATGGAGGGTTATAGGAATATGGTGAGGGTGCTGCACCTCATTTGCGGACTACAGTCGGTGGTTGTGTGACGTGCCATATCCGATGGTAGGTGCGCTCCGCACTTCAACGGCCACCGCTATACAAGCTTTGCGGCAAGGCTGGCACGCTCTTCTTCTTCTTTGTCTGTCTCGGATGAAGAAATGAGGCGAGTCAGCCCGCTATACGTGCGATTGTGCGATGCGATTCTGTCATTGTCTTGGTATAGTATCGTCGGATATGGAAAGTATAAGGCAATTCGGCAGATGCGCTAGTGTTTCTAGAAGTGCGATCCGCAGTCTTGCAACTGCCAATGTATACGCTGCAGTTGGCCGTGATACAGTGCGACTGTGATTGATAATATCCACGATGAAGATATCGATTGTGGGATAGCACATATCACGGTTTGCCGATGTCCATTGACCTTCATGGGTTGAATGACCTGACATACGGTTTTCTACTCCGTAGATACCCCAGATACTTCCCCGAGCTGAATCTCGATGGTGGCACTTCAATTTCCATGGATCGATATGCATCTTCAAGGCAGTCTTGAAAATTTCGATGAAAAGGGGGAATCCCACGAGGGGAAGTATGGGAGGCTGGACTGTGGCTAGCAAAGCGAACCAGACCAGGCAAACATCCGTGGGGGGCAATGCTTAATTACGGTATGGTAAAAATTGTAACGGGAATGGCAAGGAAAACGTGCCGAAGTGGGGGGTGAGTAAGCAGAAGGATACCAAGGTCTGATTGGACGATCCAATGGCCATCAGCCGGCCTCTAATTGGGTACCGTGCATCATCCCCTGCTGGCAATCCATCCAATCATGATGCTTTGCGCACTGCAATATGCCCATTAAGGAAAGTGACCAGCTGCCGGCAGAACTGCTGCTGCTTCGATGTGCAATTTTTGGCGCCACCAATGCAGGCGGCTCCCCCAGAGACCGCGGCTTGGGAACCTCTTCCTGTTGGAACGATGCATGGTCCCCTGCGAGGAGTACGATGTACCTATCGTCCTGCATGAACGTCGACCGTGGTATTGGCTGGATGAATGCAAGGGATCAGAGAAACAATAGGACTGTCAATGATATTGTCAGCTCTACCTGTCCTACAGTAGTCAGTTATGTAGTATCCAGTGCTAGTATAAGTCCCGCTCGGCCATAAGCCATGGTCATGGTCAGCGACACACTAATTACCAAGTACGGCCGTACATCGCAGTAAGCCTTGACTCGTGCTATGGTAAAGCCCAAGGGTCAACCGCACGCTCTGACTGGCGGGCAATTGGAGGTTCATTTTTCCAAGAATAGAATTTTCTCCGCACGGAATGCGAAACTTTTTCCAGGCCAACTCTGTGTCGGTGAGGATTTTGGTAAAGCAACTGAAAGACCAATGGCAACCATGTGGATTATAGACCAGGTCAGAGAACAGGCATTATTCCTTGCATATCGAGTTAGAGCCGTGGATTGTCGTGAACATTCCTCTGCAAGACTAGCGGCTGGGGGGAACAATCAACCATATCGGCTGAAGTCCGTAGGTGTCGAACCGAAGCTAAGCAGGCTACATCAGGGCCGTCCCCTCATGTCGCCGAGCTAGAACCTCTTAGCCGCGTGTGCAGGTGCATAGACTTTCTTTGCCCCGACAAAGTACCACTACTTTGATGACCATTGACTTAGTATCCATAGAGAGGGTCAAAGACAGCACGGCCAACGGATCAGGATTTAAACAAGGACGGAGCTTTCCCCTCCCTTGTGTGTATTCCAGCTAAGCGCGGGAATTCACGGCAACCAGTTTCGCTTAAGGGCAACTTGGGCATCAACCCCTCCACACCGGTGACCTGCGATAGTGTGATTCCGAGGCACCACTCTTCTCGGCCGTTGGACTGGTCCCTTGAAATCACCAGGTCATGGGTGTTGTCTTTCCCAGGTCTCAGGTAGTAGTAACTATTTTACCCCTTTTTTTTTTTTTCTTTCCTCTCCCGGAAAGCGGAATTCCGCATAGCCATCAGCATCGGGGGGATTTTCCAGAGTCCAGACACAGTTAGCCAGCGATTTGCCCCAGCCTCCCATGGAATCAGCGGTGGCCACTTGTTTCGAGAAGATGGAAAAATTTCCTCTCGTCCATCGCCTGCTAAGGTACACCCGTTTCGAGAGCCCCACTCAGACGGGAATAAGGAACTGGAGTGGCGTCGCGCTAAACTAGATTGGACTCGCCACTAGTGGCCTAGCTGCTTTGGTCTTAGTCCCTTTCCATTGGAAAGCTCCAGCTGGGAGCTCTTGTGCTTGGGTTGCATGGAAGCTCAACCTAGAGCTGGGGAGAGCTGGTGGTTGTGGTGGTGGAATTTGAACCAGAACAATGAGGGGTAGAGTCGCACATGGCCGGATGCCCAGCTTGTTCACTCACCACGTGATTCTACAATAACCCATTGGAATTGCCTAAACTGACTACCTGCGAGCAATGTGACCATTGTGTTGTATCGGTCATCATCCATCAAGACCAACCCCCATTCATCCGTAGTCAATGCTAATTATGCTGATGCTGCAGCTGTCGCAACCCCCTCAAGAATGGAGGGGTTCCACCGGCACTCCCGAAATGCTGGTCATCGTTACCATACCGTATGTATGTATGTGTGTGTATGTATGGTATTTGACCGGCTTAGCCAGCCAACCTGCATCTGTCTGAGAAGGACGGAAGTCTCGGTCGACCAAGACCCCGTCAAAGTTCAGCTGTTTGCCCTTTTCAAACGCGGACATGAATCGCACGGATCATATAGGATGATTGCTGCTGGAAGTCCTTGCCGAGTAGCCATGTCCTTAACTTATACCCTTGACTGAGCTACGGAGGTGTCCGCCATCCCAACTAGGAAGGCAGTGCCCCTTCCCCATGTCACCCCTCCTTTGGCTCCGGTAATGTAATGTAAGCTTGAACCGACTCTGAGCTCCAGTGGAGTGTAAGTGTCACAGACTTATCAGCAGAGTAGATCCGGATCCGAAGCTTTCTACAGTGCCTCACTGTACAAAATGGACTGTCTAGTGATACAGAAATATACTGCTATAAAAGCAGTAAAGGATGAGATACTGATTAACATCTTTTCAGCAAAAATATACTCTACAAAAAGAGTAATGTTCGCGACGAAGCGAGGACCGAAATTCATGTGTGCGGATATCGCGCTGTCCCACACTTTATCGATAGGCGCAATCGGCATCAGATACCGCCGCGGTACGAAATCGTAATACCGAAAAAGAGCACATGCTGTATCACCACCAGGATGATAATGCCTCATAGGGATTGATCGGATGAGAATGGCTTGAAAGACTTTTCTCCTGCTGCTTGGCTAACAAGCTATTCTCGTAGCTCCATGTAGCAAGCAGTCTAGTCATAACTTCTGGATACAGCGTAGCTACCAAGCCAACCAATATCTACAACCTCCCCCAGGAGCTCCCATCGGATGTCCGTTATCTTGCCCGTGAGCTTCCCTCGTTTTTCGCCTCTCATCCGCGGTACGGGCTGTAGTAGGTATGCTTATCGTGTCACCCGATCCAGTGCTCCGTGATACCTTATCCCAGCGCCTCGAGACCTACAAGTCCATTTACTGATGCACGAGGACGTTTTCTGGATTGTTCACTAATCCTGGATCCTCCGATCATCCTAGCCAGTCCAAGCTACATGGGACAAGCCACGCGGTCGGAGTGCTTCGGACTAAATCTTCCCACTTTTTTTATTTTTTCTTTTCTTTCTTTTCAATCATTCTTTGACTTTTTCCTGGTATTGTATGTAAAATCATGTAATTTGTAAGTGGATTACCATACCCACCCTCCTTTTTTCGTTTTTCCCCTCCAGACAAGTCGCCTGCTGGTCGCCTTTTTTCACTTTTTCTCTCTTTTTTCCTTCCTTTTTTATATTTTTTAGGTCAGATTTCTGTTTTTTGCCTAGTGGGTCTTTGCCATCCCCAATCCTTTGGCTGTCAATTTTCTTTTTTTCGAGTCCACTAGCCTATTCGTAGATTAGCTTGGCTGGACAAGACCTGTACTCGGCCTAGCTCCTTGACCTTTCCCCCCTCCCCCTTCCTGGACCTGACCGATTCCTCGATTGTGATGCTTTAGTTTCCTGCCACTACGCCGGACGTGCTTTTGACTACTACTTACTACTAGTAGTACTGCTGCTGCTGCTGCTTCGGAGTACATTACAATCTTACTACATCGATAGTAACTACCGCAACTGGCTCCGAAAAAGAATAGCTCAGCCTGGACAGCAACAACTAGGGCGAATTTATCTCCATATTACTCATACACTCTATTACTTTGCCGTCTAGCTTTCTCGACCACGGATTCCACCTCTTCCCCGATCCTTTTTCTCCTTCATCTTTTCGCCTCTCCAAATTACTTGCTTGACATACTCATCGTTTCTTTACCTTCTCCTTCTTGCGCTGTACATTGGAGCATGCGTTGGGAGGGTTGACGGTGCCCTAACGAATTGATCTTGATCTATTACTATCTAGTTCAGTGCTTCCATTCAAGCTTGCTTGTGTGCTTGTGCTGGCTCGCTGGCTTGACCCTCCAACCCACCCCGCCAGGACGGATCCATGCAGACCATGCCGCCGCGAGCATCGCTAACCAGCTCCTTCTCGGTCACCGACGTCAATAATGAAGTGGTGTGTCCGTTGAAGAATAACGATGGCTCCAATTGCCGGAAGAGATGTCTGGGTGTGAGTAGTACTCCTTCAGCTCGCCTTTTCCCCCCTCTCAGCTTTCCCTCCTGCTCCTTCTTCCCGCCCGCTATCGATCCGAGCCCCACTTTCATGCAATGGTCAGCAAGCAGCCTGCGCCTCTGTGCGAGGACCAGTGCGGGCGCAAGCTGGAGAGAAAAAATAATATGATCTGTCGCATTACTATCCAAGCCTAATGCTTGTGGTTAACATGTTGTTCTGCCCTTCAGGAGAAGCGCTATCGCTCCATGCAGGAGCACATCCGGAGAGCCCACCCGAACCACTACATTCCGAAGCTCCCGGCGACCGAGGAGAGCTTCATCTTGATGGTGACCACCCCTCCAGACCAACGGGCCCATCTATCTCCCTCGACTCAAGCTCCATCTCGGCGACGCAATGGTCGGTCATCATGGCTGGAATGTGTGGCTCTCAGAATGTCAACTGACTGGCTATAGAAGTTGCTGATCGGGATATCTACGTTGCTGACGCTAGCTCTCCGGCAACCCCGCGGGGCATTGACGAGACTCACCCCGCGGCTGCGACCGCCGCCGTCGCATTGGCGCAATTGCACCACAACCGTCTAGCTTCCGACTGGGATACGGACATGGTATGCTAGACTACTTTGTGAGCAGTAGAAAAGCGTGATTGCCTAACTGGTGCGCTAGGAGACTCACTCGGACAATGACCGAGACCGCCTGCGATCCGTTGAACTGCCTTCCCTGAGGGAGCATTTCAAGCAGGAGGCTTCGCTGCCTCCATTCTCATCCCCTCGTCCTCGCGAGCTTCTTCCGTCCATTTTGACTCACTCCCCGCCCGGTCGCTCTTCCACCCTGCCTCCCATCCAGCATAGAGACAAGCTTCCTCGTCCTCGCAAGTCGTCCATTTCTAGAGCTAGAAAACCGAAGCATGAGCGGACTAGATCCAAGGAATACGGCCGACGCCCTAGTCTGGGCGATCGGAAGGCGCTTTCTGCAGAACCACAGACTGCCGCATGGGCTCAAGGCAAGCGCTGGGAAGATTTGATCGAGGCAGCTACCTCGGCCACGGAAGCGGATGACGATCATAACTCGGATGTAGGTGCCTGCTTTTTCCGCAGAACAAGCTCAGACAGGTGCTAACCTCGGCCACAGGTTGGTCGGTCGCCCACAATGCCCCCATTGATCTCCAATATCACTTCGGCGCCTTCGGTCGGCAATCACCGGTCATCGTTACCACCGGCTTTTCAACCCTCACCAGGACTGCCGCCACCGACCTCTCATCGGCCTTTCCCTCCTCACGCCTATGCGGCGTCACCGCTGCACAAATCTTTGACGCCGCCGCCATTTGATACCGCACGCAGTCGCGACAGTGATTTGGAGCCATTTCCCTCCATTGAGTCCTCGCTAGATTCGGCATCGACGGCGTCAGGGAAGACCTACGCTTTCTCGAGTCACATGAGCACATCCAACAACGAGTCTAGCCCAGTATTGAACATGTATCCTTCTTCTGCGTCTCAGCGCCAACATCATCGGTTTTCAAACCCCACCCCGGCGTCATACCGCAACAGAGAGATACAAATCTATTGTGCCAGTTGCAAACGCCCGTGGCCTCTGAATGAATGCTACGCCTGCACGGAGTGCATCTGCGGTGTGTGTCGAGAGTGTGTCGGATTGTTCATCAGCAGTCCGCCTGCCTCCTTTAGGAATGTGACGTCGAGTCCGGGCAGCGCGATGTCGCATGGACCAACAAGCTATCCCAGTCCCCGAGGCTGCCCTCGCTGCCGCACCGTGGGTGGAAAATGGAAAGCTTTCCAGCTCGACTTCAGGTGAATACACCCTTATTCTTGATGTGTCCAGAGTGAAGCGCACTCTGGTGAGCTTCTGACAGAATTTTATGTTTTACGGATGTTACGATTAATGGCTTTGAGGGTGCACGGTTACTCAAAATTATGGAGCAATGACATGAGCCAGGCACACGAGCATCACGCAGTGGTCGATGAGTATATGATGTCGCCCTTGACTGTTTATATCTCGCAACGAGTTATTGAAGGGCTGGCCCGACCATGATTCTCACATGCCATGATAAGGAAATCTTATGAAAATCCGGGTTTTGGGTGTTTGGTAGGTATACAACAACGCTGGGCGGGTATATATACTACATGGTGGCATTGGTGTTTTGATCATGACAATTTTGATTTATGTTTTGGATGGTTTACATGGGTCGCATTTACGAATATATTGAACCTTGGTGTAGTTTGATTTGAATAGATGTGTTCATCCTATCCCAACATTTCAGCGCATTCATGCTACTTATGCCTTGCTGGACCACCAGCCCCCACCCATCAACTGCCCCACCAGACTTCCAATCAATCTGGTTACTCCCACACTGTTTCTATCCTGTGCCTTGACCATACTTTGCTTGTCATGCGCACCATCTTCACTTGCAAAGAATCTTACCAGCACCTCGGCGGCTAGCTTGGAGTCATCCCCGTTTCCGTCCACGTCTCCAATTGCCGTCACATACTGCTCGACAACCTCTTTCGCCCACCCCAATCTCCCTCCAAAGTCGACACATGTCTCTCGGTTGACAAACGAGTCGAATTCAAAATGACCTTGATAGGACAAAACACGTCCTGGACAATACAAGCCCTGAATCGGACAAGGCTTTGATCCCCCAATGTTCATCCAAGGCGAGGGAAGCGCTTCCTCAGGTGACGACTCAACCGTCACCCAATCCCCATGAATCATCTGCAATCTCAACGCACTCTTTCCCCTCAAGCAGGGAAATGAGTCCACAAACCCCTTTGTGAGTTCAACCTGCGCCAGTCCCGCTTCTTTTCCATCGGGACAACATCCCACCTTCACCTCATTGGCCGAGGCAGGCCCAGCAAGCAAAGCCTCTGCAAGCGCCTGATGGCCAAAACAACTTCCAAAGATCCGCACATGCGGATACTGCTCATACACAGTGGTAATGAACTCCAACAACGGCGCAACCCATGACTGGTACTCAGCACCATACGTAGACGCCACTGATCCCGTAATCAAGATGCCGGTGATAGGCAAAGCCAGCGGATTGATAACCTCCCCAGCCTTGGTCACTGTGGCAGTAGGCTGCGTACTCAAACTAGCCAGCGACGGCAAATTACCACCGAGAGTATCGAACGCAGTGGTGTGGATCTCAATATCTTCATCTCTTCCTTCATCATCTGCAATCCGCCCCGCAGCAGCCCGAAGCAGCTTGCGAAATTGGGTACTATAGAGACCGCGAGCGTAGTAGACGTTCGGAACCGGGACGTCGACGTCCAGGACGGCGATGTGGAGATGTTTCTGGGTTCTCATCGTGTTCTGTGTGCGTGCGGTATAGGATGATTGAGGGGTTTCGGAGAGTGGTGAGGGGTAGATGCGTCTGATACAAAAACCATTATCTAAACAGATTGGGACTTTGATAAGGCGAGAGAGAAAGTGTGGAACCGCGGACCCTGGGGATCGAGTTGCCTCTTTCGGTAGGTGATCGAGATGCGGGCGCGCCGCTTTAGGGTTGAATCTCGCTGGTTCGGGGAGGTTATTGCGATTTGGGTTGAGAAGGCATTTAATTACTGCTTGCCAGTGTATTATGCCCATAGGATTTATTTCAAAGGATCTATGGGTCCATATTTGAAATACACATTGGAAGCTAGCAGGTTTGTATCCAAGTTGGAGGTGTTCGCTATAGACATCCGAGTACTCAGCGGACCCGACTAGGAACTACATTTCTGAACCAAATCCAAAAAAGATCTAGATAAAGAGGCAACACAAGTCATACTTCCATCAGTCTTAAGCGATACGCATGTCATAATCATCATCCTGATCAAAGTACCCACGTTTCAATAACCTTAACGCCTCATCCAAGCCACCGTCCAAGATATAGAAAGTCAAAACTATAACCTTGACCAAGGTTTTCGAACTTGTTCCTAGTCGGATTATCTCCTGCTGCGGATATAGTACGCTACGCAATTAATATACTACTGGCGTTCTTTGTGGTCCGGGGTTATAGCCCGGAACCTAGTAGTGAATGGCTATTCTAGCAAAGTCTACGTTTATAGATGTTGCATGGTAGGTTGCATTGGCTGTTGCTTTGATCGATTATACATGGGAGGCGCTGCTATGTAGTAGTTACTACTACTGCAAAGGATACCTAACGATGTGCGCTATGTTAGATCCATCGTGAATAGAAAGAATCGTACACAATAGGAATGATTCTCGTGTGTAAATTCACCTTCCTACACATGAAAACAAGTCTAAATGCCCACACAGCATAAATGAACTTGAGTTCAGAAGACGAGTGAAACAAATAAGATATATATGCCAACGCCAAATACAACCGCTAATTCAATAACCCCTCGCAAACGCAACCACTAGCAGGAAGATCTATTCAATCTCCCCTGCATGGCCCTCCTTTGAGATCCATCCCTCTCCTTACGCAGAACAGCCTTTCCCGCCCGCGAAAGAAACTCCTTCCAAGTGCCGTCGCCATGAGCATGGATGGACAGATATCTTGTTCCATTTCGAGCATGGAATCCAACCGTGACGACTTTCTGGCCGTCAGTCTTGTCTTTGCTTGAGAGGTGGGGCGTTGTTCCTCTATATGTACATTAGTACAAGGTGATATATACTTAATAGAGTGGTCTGGATAGTCATGGTGCTAGTAGGTATACTCACTGGATTCTCCCCTCAACCACACGGGGATACTAGCAGCCGAATAAGATAACTACTTAGCATTACCTTTGACAGCAAGGGAAGAGGGAATAAACTCACCCTTCTCTTGATAGACGTCCCCGCGAAATCTACTGTATAACTATACGCTACTCCGGCCTTTGCAGACAGCGTCTCCAGGGACGTTTGTCTGTATGCTATTCCTAGGGCTATCGTGGTTTAGAATGTCTGTTTTACGAAATAGGAATCAAAGAGTTAATAGATGATACTAACCCTGCGAGAGCGGATGTATCCAATGAGTAGTTTTGTATATTCCCCTTCGTCGCAGGACGTCAGCCATTAGGTAGCTACTAGGTGGTTGGAGTTGAATTGCTCATTCGAGATGATGCAGATGTTTCATTCGGGTGGTAGGTATTTGGTTATTGGGAGTGTAGACACGGAGTGTGCACAGTATATACGAAGAATATCAAAGGCATCTCATCTAGACAGAATAATTTCCTGGAGTGCTTGGATGAACTGAGTGGTACATGGTGGTGGCATGGATAGCCCCTCAACGTCATGCGGAACAATGTACTGCCTGAATTGACCGCTCGTTTTACCGTCAAGAGCGGCAGAACTCCGTCGACCTCGCAGAGAAAAGGACGGATATAAGCGGATATAGACGGATATATTTTTCAACAGCTCTGCAAAAGTGAGCTGGGATTCTGTACTTTTTGACCGCCTTCAAGAAAGTGGCAGAATCAGCTGTCAGCGGCCGCCCCGCCATGCTATATATACTTCGTAGATGAGGGAGAGTAGATGGTAATATGTGGTTCAATTGGTTGGCTTGGGTCCTTTTCGACTATTATGAATGATAGATAGTATAGTAGATTCAATATTTAAGAGGAAACGAGTAGGATATGACGAGCAAAAAGAAGAGACTCTCGGGACATCCCAATGTTGGGGAATGCAAAAAGGTCGTGCCCGGGATCGAACCGGGATTGCTGGAATCAGAATCCAGAGTGATAACCATTACACTACACAACCTGTTGTTGTAGTAATTGTTTCTACATTATGATAAATAAATAAATCTATGGAAACAGCCTTCGAAGATCAAGCTGCCTCTCCAGCATAGCTTTCATTTCAGGATTGCGACTTATTGTATATATTTTGTAGGTTGTACCTCTTCAAATTACACTACGTCTAGATCCGACTAGTTCCTTTTTGATAATGGTACAATAAATCCTATTGTCTGGCCTGGTACTACTGCGGAGCAATCGGCACTGTAGTAGACAAAAATAAATCAACACCATCATCTTCAATCTGCATGTGAATCGGATTGAAGGAACTGGGTTACATGGAAACTATCACTTTATACCCATTTATATCAGACACAATCAACCCATGCAGTGAACAAGCAAGTAATCGTAATCAGGTACCATCCCTCCGCAATAGAAGAACCTACTACCCGATCAGGAAACACATGCCCTCATCCCATCCACTATCATGATGATTCCATCATCTCGAAACACCAATAAATGAGAAACATAAGATCATACTTATCCCATCTCTCGCCCGAGAAGTCATCTACTACTTACTACCGGTCAACCGGCACTTTCTCCGCTGATCATCGTCTCATATACCCGACCCTCCATGGTCTAGCCATCCATCCACCATCCACCATCCACCAGCCATCGTCTTTCTAATAGTAAGTAGATACTAAGATTAATACAACTTCATCCACCAACTAAATAAACCACTACCACGATACTAACTACAACATACACTACTCAGATGTAATCCAACACTCATCTCAGTATGTTCTATGCACAGCAATATTTCGCGGAATCAATCACAAGCCTTTCCCGCGGGCATCACAACAACCACAGCCGAGATTGCGCCATCGGCAAATCAACATTCGTGATCGCCGACCAACACCCGCGGCGCACTCCTCCTATGAGAAGTCGCAGATGTTCATTCAACGTATACTTAGTACTAGCCTGTCTCACAACCCAGGGCGGGCGCGCGCACGCACGCAATTCCCCTCCACTGATGGTTACATCGCTTATCGTTCCGAACATGCTCGGCGTTTACCAGGGGTTGAATGAGGACTATGATGTGAGGGGGGAAAGGAACCTGGAATGAGGGGTATATAAATACTACTGGTGTATCCTTTCCTTGCAGCTTCTTTCTTTTTTACTAGTACTGCACTACTACTAATACTACTACTGCTGCTGGCATTGATATCAATCAGAGATTGATAAGATCTCATTTATTCCTTTATTCTACTTTATTGATTCCATCATGGCCCTAACCCAACAACAACCCGCCACCATCCCCCTAGACGTCTTCCCTGACGGACTAAAAACCACCGGTCAACACCCTCCCCTCTACGAACATATTCATCCCTTCGATAAATTCCCCAAGGAGATTACTGGCCCCACGGTCTGGAAGCCTGAGGATTACAGCAATAACCCGGAGAAATGGACGCATCGGTTCACGGAGGAGGAGATTGAGGAGTTGTCCGCGGCTGCGGATGGGTTTTTGGAGGCGAAGATTCCCATGACTGGTATTAGCAAGGTGAGCCACCTGTTTACTACCCTTGTTGGTGTATGGTTGTTGTAGGTAGGGTAGTGTGCTGACGACGATGGTAGAGCAACTTCCCCCTCCCCAACCTAGCTGCCCGCCTGCACGAACTCCGCGCCGACCTCCTCGACGGCAAGGGATTCATCCTCTTCAAGGGCTTCCCTGTTGAGAAATGGGGAAACCACAAGTCTGCTGTCGCGTACATGGGTCTCGGCACGTACCTCGGGTACTTTGTTAGCCAGAACAGTCGGGGTCATGTGCTCGGCCATGTGAAGGATCTGGGCGAGGATCCGACGCAGATTGATTCTGTGCGCATTTATCGCACGAATGCTAGGTAAGGATCACTTCATTCGTTTGTTGTTTCTTTGGCATGAGCTCATTGTGTAGACAATTCTTCCACGCAGACGACTCCGATATCGTTGGATTGCTTTGCATCCACCGCGCCAGGGAGGGAGGTGAATCTGACCTGTGCTCCTCGCACAACGTCTATAATGTTCTGGCGAAGGAGCGCCCGGATGTGCTCAAGACTCTCACGGAGCCTATCTGGTACTTCGACCGGAAGGGCGAGACGAGCACAGGACAGGAGGAGTATATCAAGACGAGCGTGATCTATCTGGAGCGTGGGGAGAACCCTCGCGTTTATACCAAGTATGTATCATTGCCTTCGACGGTTCGATGGGTAAAGGACTGTGCTGATACTTTTGCAGGTGGGACCCCTACTATGTGCGCTCTCTCACTCGCTTCTCCGACGCTGGAATCATCCCCCCGCTTTCGGCTGCTCAGGTTGAGGCCCTCGAGGTTCTCGAGGCGACTTGCAACCGCGTCAAACTGCACATGATCCTCGAAGTCGGCGACATTCAGTTCCTGGCCAACTCCCATGTGCTGCATGCACGCACAGCCTATGTTGATCACGCTCCGCCTACGCCCAGACGCCATCTCATGCGGTTGTGGTTGGCCACACCGGAGAGCGAGGGCGGATGGAAGCTGCCGTTCTGGGATAGCAATGAGAAGAAGAGAGGTGGTATCCAGGTTGATGATCAGGCCCCGGTGGCTCCCTTGGATGCTGAGTAAACGGGTCAAAACGACTCAAATGAAATTCATGTCTGTAATGTGTACGTTTAGCTTCAATACCATGTTAAATTAGTTATGAGAGTTTTGCTATACCTCATGTACCTCATTATTCGTAATTCATACAAGCTTTCCTCTTCTATGGGATGGACATAATATGCAATCACTGCACAATCTTGTAGCTGCCTCCGCTGATGATCTCCAGCTTTCCTTTCGACACCATCCCGGCTAGGAACTCTCGCAGCTCCTCGTTGCTGTATGGGAATCCTCCCGGAACGGCGATCTTCAGCATCATCACGATCCGTTGCAGTGGCATTGCGCCCTGATTGGTCAACATGCCCACAATGAACTGCCAATACAGATTCATCTTCTCCATCGCCGCCGCTTCGGCCGTTTCCTTCGCTGCCGCTGCCGCGGCTGCATCTGCCTCGGCTGCTGCTTGTGCCGATTCTGCTGACTGGTCCTCCGCATCGCCGGCGCCAGGTAACCCAGGCTCTCCGCCTGATGCATCGCCCTCTTCGCTCGGAAGGACCTCCAAGACTCGGAATGTATCCCGCTGTGTTTCCACAAGAATGCGCTTGCTTACCCAGAAGAGACATGCGCTGCGCACGAGTGCAGTCGACATACCGAGTTCGCTGGCGAGTCCGTCCGTTGTCTTGGTCACGGCCTCATCTGACGGAGAATTGAAGGCGTAGATCACGGTGGCTTGCCAGGTAGTTACCTCGTCCATGAATACGCGGTCCTCGAGATCCAGCTCCACAGTGACCTGTCCGAGTCCGTTCAACCAGGTGAGTTTGCGCGACTGCTTCAGTGATCCAAACCCTTGCGCGTACCGCTGCTGGAGCGAGGAAATCTCTTCTGGAACATTAAACTCCAACCCTTGAATCTCAGGCCAGAAGAAGTGCGAGAGGATCTTGGCGTGAAGCTCTGGCATCTCTTCGTCATCCTCTGCTGCTCGTCTGCCGTCAGGAGTAACTGGCAGTTGGGCCTTGCGCTTTCCGCTCAATCCTTGGTCACTGCGTATAACGGCGTCAACACGGCGGGAGTCGAAGATATCCCGCAGCATGACTTCGCAGGCTTGCAAGGCATTATCACCAAAGCGCACCTTTAGAAGCTCCAGAACAGACATCTCCTGGTCAAAGTCGGCGCGCTTCTGTAGTAGTCGCTCGCCCAACATGTTCTGCATCTCCTTGACGAACATTTCTTTGGACTCAAACAAACTGATAAGGCTTCCAATAACGTCAGACGTTTTCGATTTCCGATAGTCTGGTGCCGCGTCGACCGGGTCGGGAACCCAGTTCATATCATCCCAGTCGAGTTCTCCACTATCAGCTCGCAGCGAGTTTTGGTGTGCTTTAGTCAATTCTGCTGACAACTCCACCAATGTGTCCATGTGAGAAGTAGTTTGTCCATCAGCATCGGCCGGATCGGACAAGAGCCCGCCAACGATGACCTTGACGGTGTCATCGCGGTCGCGAAGGTATCTGCGAATGGGCCTAGCAATCCGGTCCAGAAGCACCCCCTTTGGATCTAGCAGGTTGAATGCCCGTATAATGGAGATGTACACCTGCAGAATCTCGACAGTAGATGCACCTGGGTGCAGCAATCGCTGGTTGAGAACGGCAATGAAAGAGTGCGTTAGATGGGATCGTGCTGCTGGATACGTAGTAAAGTGCCGCAAATCTTCGATAGCTCCACTGCTCGCAGGCCACTCAACAATAATATCAAAGAGTTCGCCTGCCCGGAGAGCCCCAAGGCGAGAAATACCAACTTCCTGCCACTTTTCCACATCACTCAGATTCACATCGAGGCTATCCGGTTCCCTGATCCCAGATTCCGGGGTGTTAATTATGGCTAGGACTTGCACGACCAGCCGCGCGAATACGTTCTCAATCCAGTGCCGTAAATGCTGGACGACTAGTGAAGGTCCTTCCCATTGTCCGGTGTATGCCGCCCGAATGAACTCGCTCAGCATGGTATCCATGACACTAGCAAAGACCTTCTGCGCCTTGTCGCCACCCATGCCAACCATCTGTAGCCCGTCAAAGAGCACCAGGAGGGCCTCTCGGGACGCATTAACACGTGCATCCTCTCCAGTCATCAGACTCATCCTAGCCTCGACAGAAGGCTCATTTCGCCAGTCCTGGTACGAGACCGAGAATTGCCGATCGACTTCCATATCATCAACGCTCCCTGACTCATCATCTCTCTCCTCACCCAAAGCATCAATCCCCAGAATAACCAAGGCCTCCGTAGTAATCACATGAGTCAGCAACGTAGACCTCAACGACCACGGCAACGCATAAGCGACCATCATGTGGAATGACGTCCGGAGCTTGACGAACATAGGCTCCTGATCGGAAGTATCGAGAAGCGGCAGCAAGTATTCCATCAAGTGCGAAAAGTATATCCTCCTTGCCAGCTGCAAGCAGTCCACGATCTTATGTAGCAACCTTTCTTTCTGAGGATAATTCAGAAGCTGTATACCCCACGATCAGTACCCCACATAGCTTGAAACACCTTGGATATAAGTCCTACCTTATACAGCCCACCCCTGAAATTCTTCAAAAAGTGCCTCCGCATCTCATATGCATACCAATCCAGTATGTTCCTTTGCGCCATATCCTCCGTCACATCCATTCCCATTGTAAAAGGCTTCATCAAGTACTCGAGCGCCTCCATCACCTCCCGGGAAGGTTTTTTATCGCGATTCGTCAAGCGCAGGAACTTCGCCTCTCCTATATCCTCATATTGGTAGAGTATATCGAACCCGCAATCCGGGATGGCAAGGAACTTTGTCGCAACCTGCCAGGCGCGGTCCAATGTCGCTTGGTCCATCCATGGCTCGTCGATATCGGTTTTATCTGACGTTATTGAAGATCGAAACTGGGAGCTGCTATCGCGGGATTTCGTGCCGGAGGAGAAATTCGGAAAGAGAGTGGAGGTTGTAGGTCCGATTGCGAGGCCCGCGGATGGGAAATCTTCTAGGGACGCGGAGGGGAGGACGGAGTTGAAGACGCGTCGGCGACTGGTGTGGATGGTTGCGGTTGTGGATGGCATGTTGGCGGTTCAGCAATGGCTCACTCCATCATTGATCTGGATGAGTCGCGTCTGAGAGCACTCCTTCACCAGGATGCCATGGCTTGAGGGGTGTTTGTTGATGCCGGTGTTTGGCACCATCATGGATAATGCGCTTAGTCATCTGATCAACATGCTTATCGATAAGAGTTCCGAAAGAGGAAATGTGCAATCAGATGCATTGCATAGAGCAGCTTCAGTATGTAGAGCTAGCTTTGGCCTTGATTTCTGCAAGCATCGATGTTGCTTTCTATCAGCACTAGCTAAGTACTTAGTTTTAGTTTTGTCAGTATCTCGTATTGTGTGAAAATTGTTGATATCACGAGCATTCTTAATCAAACATCTATGTTGGAATATATATAACGAGGTGCTATTAACTCAACATCAAGCATTTTACTGAACTCAATGATGCTCTCGTGTCCTTGAGAAGGAAGCAAAGGACCGAGAAGTTTCAAAACAGACCACCCAGGCAAATACAGCACCTTCTGCATGCATCTACATAACCTCATCTCAAGTGTGGGTGGAGAGAAGGCCATGGCGTACATCCTCGTAGTCAGATGATGGACAATTGATGAGTCGAGATTTTTGCTCATTAAGACAGCAGTACTCAACTATCGCCCATATCTACAGGCACATCTAGATTGGTCAATCCCATTGTGCTCCGGCGGGGATTCCATGCAGCTTGAAAGCGGGGGTCTAAACTTTGCATGAAATATCAACAACACCCACCCTCTTCATGTGAGCGGGCAAAAGGATATCCGGACTATATGCAAGATCGGGCTTATAGCTTTGCCATGGTACTTTGTTGCTAGACGTCATAATGGGAGCAAGAAAGTATCGCGGCCACCAACCTGGTCATGCTATACTGTATTGCTGGACCATCAAAGTATCAAGTAACAGGTCTACATTTCATTCCATTGCCCGGCATGTATCAGTCATCTATAGGGTATCTTGCCGGTGCAGCAAACAGAATGCCTCTCCGATATCTATATGGGACACAGACGGGGATGGTGTATGGCAACGAAGCCGTATCGGCCCATGTCCGACGCAGGATGGTCAAGAAATAAGTTGGCCACCACACGGGCCCCTAGGCTGATGTACTAACAATCCCTGACAATGATCCAATCCCGTGTATGCCTAGGCCGCCTTACCGTCATCTACCTTCTCCCACTCGCTATCGGTGCTTTGGTAACCCGAGCTCTCACCGCTGACGCTCAGGCGCTTCCGAACTTCGCCTTGTTCCTCCGGTGGCCGAAGTGTTGCCGATGCAGCAAGAGACCGAGGAGCGGAAGCGGTGGCAGCAGCACCCTTGTGCTCCGTCAGAAGTTCTGTTTCCGTATCACTCCCAGCACTGTCGAGAGTCGCCGGGGTTTTCCGACTGCCGTCTGACTTGGATTGGCTCTCTGCAGGCTCTTCCGATTGTTGCTTTTTCTCCGCCTCCTCAGCTTGCACCTGCCTAAGCTCCTGAGCGAACCAGTTGATGGACCACCATAGGGCGCCGGACAAGATGGACAGGACGAAAAAGTGGATGCTATACGTGGCGAGGAGGAGGGCGAACAGGAGAGCCTGGAGGGCAGCGAAGGTGACGTTTGTCGCGATGAGGAGAGAGGGGGTGGGACCCGGGGTAAAGATGCTAGACCAGAGATCCTCCATAAACGAGCCCATAATTTCGGATTACGCGCGATTGCGGCTACTTGCGGGGAACGGCTGGAAAGTTGGGGTCACAGAAAGCGGCTCTGGGGTAGGGGAACTGTGGAATGACGTTGATGTCGGAAACTGGAATCCGTTGTTGTTGTTGAGTTTTTCTCGTGTCCCTGTGGACCGACAGTGCAACAACCTGTTAGCAACGCCGGATTGTCGGGGATCGAGGACGACAAACTATGCAGCAAGCAAACCGGGATCTCAGTCGCAACTGCGGACCGGTGGCCAAAAACACAATGCCGTTCGGAGGGGAGAAGAGAGGATGCAGATGGGAAGGTAGGACGAGAGGACCGGTAGTCGACCGAAGCAGACGGTCGGCGTTTGAGTCGAGGTTCAAGGTGGGGAAAAAAGAGGAGAACGGGAACTGGATCCTAGGCCGATTTGCCAGGAGCTAATGGTGAAGTTTAAATCCCCGTGGGGAGAGATACAGCTGCTGACTATTGAGAGAGATACGGGAGGTAAAAATGAGAAGCTGGTGGGCTGTTGAGAGGGGGAAAAAAAAAGGAATGAAGATATTGAAGGGGAGATAGTTGACTCTTTCTGGGGGTGAGTTTGGAGAGCGTCACGTCACGCCCGCCCGACGGAGGGGCAGCTGCCCTTTCTTTTCGCCGTAACGTTACTACTAAGTTACTAAGTTACTACTTAAGGCAGCGATGGGTGTGAAATACCCGGTTTATCATCACGGGACTCTCCCTTCAGGTATCGATCTCTCATGATCATGACCGCTGGATGGTCGGAATGACCGATTCTCAATCACGACGGATATGCAGTGATAGTATTACTCCATTATACCTCTCCTGCTAACTAAGAAAAGCGCGCATTTTGGGTTTTTGGGCTCGAACATCCCAAAGCCAAGTCAAGCTACGACTGGAAGTATCTTCTTCCGGTAACCTACACGGCTGCTTTGGCTGGACTTCCCTTGGATTGGCCCATCTATCAAATACCGCTGATCGGCTTTCGACCTGATGGCTTCCGCTTCGATTGCCGCATTGCGCCGTTTGAGATGATGTAGTATTGAGTAAAGAAAGTAAAGTAGCCCCTGCACCCGCTTTCGGACATCCCAGAAAACCTTGTGATTGGCGGACTGAAGAGGCATCATCCATGAAGATGCCATTCTATGATCCACGGCTGTTGAATGTACGATGACGAGGACATGGGGTGTCTTATCGAGCATATATTGGGGCACTCTCAAGCGTCCAGCTCATTCGACCATGCGTTTAATAGCGGGCCTGTAGCCATGCGGATGCGGAGACATCCTAAAGGTAATCCTGGGGTTTGTACTCCGTACCACAGTAGTAAGTAGCTGGCAGACAACCCGATTCCCAGACAGGACGGCTTTACTCCGACACTAAAACTGGGTGAGACAGAGTGAGACAGAGTGAGACTTTCGTCAATTCGCTCATCTGGCCGGAATGCGAGATGGTGATGTCCGCACGTGTTGCCGTCACGGGATGTCTTGCTTTCCCCAATCGGGACACCAAACGAATATCCAGAGGCACAGAGTATCAGAAATGACAAGCAAGGTTAAATCTTGGTGAGCTTGTCAAATTGGCTATATATCCTCTGAATTAGAAAACTGTTTGCTCTCTAAGGACCAAACCGGTTTTCCATGTAGTTCCATCCCATGCCTGCGCTTTTCTAGTGGATTCGAACCAGGGTGACTGCGATACGCTAAAGCGGACCACAGTTTGGCCTCACCACCTCCACTTCACACTTCCCTGACGGTCTCCGCCCGCCGGCCCACTTTCACCCAGAAACTACGATTCGACATTGGCCTGCAGATCGCAGCTTAGGGTTCTTTTCTTCTCCCCCCTTCTGCTTCATGGCTATGGAATCGTCCGAATCCTACCGTGCTGTCCACTGCGAATCATGTCGCTTCCCGGTCTCTTGATTTCCTTGGGCATCTGGTTCCTTCTGGTTGGCTGGCTGGGATAACTGTAGTCAATTGATGTATCTATATAAGCTGCGGTGTAACTCGCGTCTCCTCTTTGCTTTCTTGGTCAATCAACTGTAAATCAATTCACGTGCTATCTCAATAGTGACAACAGGCATCGCTTTTGCGATCAAGCTGGGCCTATACCCATCCTTTCTCCTTCAATCAATCATCTCTCCCTCTTTTTTTTCTTCCATCCCTCTTTCCCATTCCATGATGGATAAGAAGCCTATAGATCCTGCAAAGGAGCTGTCCCCGGATGGTCGCTCATCCATCCAAGGGGGCATTGCTCACCATGCAGAGGACCCTCTCCCCGAAAGGGAACCTTATGGCCCCCAGGTATTAGGGGACTCATAGCAAACCCATTCGTCCTCATGTGTGCTGCTTGCTCGACGCTGGGAGGTCTCACATTTGGGTATGATCAAGGTGTAGTCTCGGTCATCCTGGTCATGGACCAATTCTTGGAGCGTTTCCCCGAGGTGAACTCCGGCTTTTGGAAAGGTTTGATGACAGCAATGATCGAGCTAGGAGCATTCCTTGGTGCCATGAATCAGGGGTGGATTGCGGACAAAATCTCTCGCCGTTATTCGATCATCGTTGCAGTTTGCATTTTCACGGTTGGATCAGTATTGCAGACAGCAGCGGTTGACTATGCCATGTTGACTGTCGCACGACTGATTGGTGGTGTGGGGATTGGTATGCTGTCAATGGTGGCTCCCTTGTATATCTCGGAAATTAGTGAGTATTATGACTGTTCCATACCGGGCTGGTTACATAACTTGTACAATGAGCGTCAGCTGACCTGTATTCTCAATAGGTCCTCCCGAGTGCCGTGGTACACTTCTGGTCATGGAAGAGTTGTTCATCGTTCTTGGAATCGTCATTGCATACTGGATCACCTATGGTACTAGGTACATGTCTGGAGAGTGGGCGTGGCGCCTTCCCTTCCTGCTGCAGTTGATCCCGGGTTTCATCTTGTCGGCGGGTGTTATTGTTCTGCCTTTCTCCCCAAGATGGCTTGTTGCCAAAGGAAGGGTGCAGGAGGCTCTTCAGAGTCTGTCGAAGCTGCGTCAGTTGCCTCCATCCGACAAGCGCGTCAGACAGGAGCTTCTGGACATCAAAGCCGAGGTTCGCTTCCATCAGGAGCTCAACGCAGAAAAGCACCCCAATTTGCAAGGTGGTGGAATCAAGAATGCAATCTTGCTCGATCTGGCATGCTGGGCCGATTGCTTCAAAAAGGGTTGCTGGCGGAGGACGCACATTGGTGTGATGATGATGTTCTTCCAACAGGTGAGCAGCAAGATACTTTCTCAGAAAACCATCCCGGAAAGCAACTAACAGTTTGGCGATAGTTCGTTGGCATCAATGCCCTCATTTACTACGCACCTACGCTGTTTGAGACTATGGGATTAGACTACAGCATGCAACTCCTGATGGCAGGTATCGTGAACGTGGGACAGCTGGTGGGTGTGATCACTAGTATTTCCACCATGGATAAATTCGGTCGCCGGGCTCTTCTGCTTTGGGGTGTAGCTATCATGGCAATCTGCCATATCATCGTGGCCGTCTTGGTTAGCCTCTACTCCGACAACTGGCCCGCACACCGCGCACAGGGTTGGGCCAGCGTCGCTCTTCTACTTTTGTATATGGTTGCCTTTGGTGGCTCGTGGGGTCCAGTAGGATGGGCGCTGCCAGCTGGTAAGTATCTACCCCCATTAAATGTTGGAATGCCACTCGTGTCTAACTCATCGCAGAGGTCTTTCCTTCTTCCCTACGTGCTAAGGGTGTGGCCCTCTCGACCTGCTCCAACTGGCTGAACAACTTTATTATCGTGAGTCAACCCCAAGAAAAATATCCAGATATAGCGCAACTCTAATAGAAATGACTGATAGGGCTTGATCACGCCGCCGCTTGTTGAAGATACCGGATACGGCGCCTACGTATTCTTTGCAGTCTTCTGTTCGCTGGCCTTCGTATGGACACTCTTCTTCGTCCCTGAAACCAAGGGCAGGTCTCTAGAAGAGATGGATCAGGTCTTCAAGGATAACTCGAGCGAAGCAGAACAGGCTCGTAGACGTGCTATCGAGGCAGACCTGTTGCATGAGGAGGAGCAGGCCGTGATAGAGGCCTAATGTTGCCTGTGAAGACGGTTGCACTGGTCTACTGGTAGATCCAGTGCAGTTCAATTCTTTGTGTATAACATGACTATTTAGTTAGGACTTACGAATTTATGAGTGACGTGAAATGAATTTTGCAACGTTGAGTAGATTACTGGTTGCTATTCTTGTCGGAAGATTTGGTTCTGGACCATCCTTATCTCCGCTTACTAACCAGGTAATTCCGGCCCACAGTTGTGTGTTTGTCAGCGGGTCGGAAGCTTTTCGCCTTCAGCACATCCGTCAGCTTCCTATCTCCTTGCTATTGCCTTCTCCTTTGAATACTACTGATCTACTACGGCATATATGTTCATTGCGGACGTCATATAACATGTATCACTCTCCGGCACCTGCTGAAAGGTCGGAAGAAGACTCCCAGAAGCATAGGAAGCGTATATCGAGGGCCTGCGATTCATGCTACAAAAGAAAGGTCGGTCTTGCTCTCTGAACATGCTTCGGAGTAAATTTCTGACCATCTGTAGATTAAATGTGATGCAGCTGTACCTCAGTGTAATTGGTGCAGTCATCATGACATTCCATGTACCTTTAACCGGGTCATTACTCGGAAGCGGAAAGCCAAGAGTGATGCAAAAGGGTATAACTCTTGTCTCCTACCAAAGAATATAGTTGCTGGAGCCTCATCTGACAGTGTATCTTGATCTAGAGAGAAAGAAACGCCCGGCCTGGCTGAGCGTATCGAGCGCATAGAAAAGTTCCTTACGGAGAATCTTCTCAAAGAGCCTAGTCAGTATACCGCTTCATGTCTAATCTCCATCTACTAACATACACAGCCTCTTCTGCAACACCCCCTAGTATTGATTATCATGAGTCTCCTATAGGGTCGCGTTCTTCGGAATACACCCACGACTTTTCGAGAGAATCTTCGACGTTCAATGAGAAGTCAGGCTCTTCTTCGGTCCCCCTACACTTCGCAGGTCGCGAGTTAGGATGCATCAACCTGTTCACGGGCATTCCGTTACTGCTCCCAGAGGGCAAAAAATGGGTTCAATCACGGACCGGACAGAATATTGCGCTCAGCAAGTTAGTCAGTTCCAACAAGCCGCCGTGGGAAAGACAACGGGCATTAACATCCAATGCGCTGGCGATGAATCCCAATCCCGAAGGCGCATTCGAGCTGCCTGATCGGAATGTAATAGACACTTACTTCAGGCTGTTTTGCATGTCCTTTGTAAGGCGTATATTTCCAGTTGTGGATCCTGTTCTTTTCAAGGAGACTATTGAGAACGCGTATCAGCAACCACGAACAAGGCTTCCATATGGAAAAGTGAGCACCAAGGCATGCGTGCTTGCCTTTGCCGCCTTTACATCTCTAGTACCACCTCTTGAATTTGA